GTTGTTTGGAAGGCTACTTCAAAATATAAAAAACAAAAAGTTCAAAACTCTTATTCAAAAAGCATAATAATCATAAAATGTAAAATTACAGGTTGTCTTTCCTGACAAATGATGAAATTTTCACAGGGAGATGTGGCTGAGGGCATTAACTGATGTCACTGCCTGCACCACTGGCGGCAGTGCCTCTTACAGGGAGGTCCTAGGTTCGAGTCCTGATGATATCGCAATTTTCGACTCTGGCTAGGTAGCTAAGTCTCGAGCAAATATACACTACACTTACGGAACTAATGGTGTTAGTACTTGCTGCACCCGTAATCACTAATCAATCAACAAACCAAGAAATGTACTTTTTTAACATTAAGTATTATATGCTCATGTTTTCTTGAGCCCGGGAATCCCTACCTCCACAGCTTTACTTACATTAGCTGAATTCAGAATAATGATAGCATGGAGCTCTGTTGACTGAATCTGATAACCAGAATGTTCACTTGCGTGTTATACAAAGTATTTTAAGCCCATGCGGTGGCTGAGATCGATAAGGCAGTAGTGCCGTAGCGATCTCGAACCGAAGGATCGCGGGTTCGAGTCCCGCCTCGGGCATGGCTGTATTGTGTTCGTCCTTTCACGCCTCCTGTCATCATATCGTCATCCTCACTGTTACCATACCCAGTTACAAGCAATAGTGGTCGCTTATGACCCAGAAGTTGATGCGACCTTAAATAACAAAAAAAGGGAATCGAAAAACGACCTACAAATCTGATATAATGACGCTGTGGACAAAATAATCAAACCCTTTCGTTTTTAGCAAAATTAGGGCTCAAGAAAACGTGTGTGATTAACATAGGGTATATACTATTAATCAATCTTCCCAATCTGGTAACCCTGTGTGGCAATACAGGACAAATTCTACGATTTTTTTCGCGTAGAGACCAACTCGGACCACGAGTGCATCCTGCTTCAGCGGGTGCAAGTACCTTTATGTGGGGGGGGGGGGATCAGCATTTTATCTGAATTCCGATTTTTATCCCCCAAGGTTGTTAGCCCTGGGAATCCGGACAATGAGATGATGATGATCGTTAGGGATGAAAGGACGGTACACACATGTAGACATTCACAGGTACCCCCATGCCCGAGATGGGAACCTGTTGTCTTCTGGTCCGAGACCGCTATGGCACTACTACCCTATCTCGGCCATCTTGACCGGCAAAAAATTCTACGATATAAGTGGCCAAAATAACCTCTTCCGAGTAACTCTGACGATGGCCCTGCGCACACGAGCGCGACTACAATCCAAGTGTGCGCGACGCGCAGCGAAATTAATTCGGGCGCTCTTTGGTGAAGGTCAAGGAGACTGAGAATTTCTCACTTGGAAGAGATAGGCGTAGTGTAACGTCTCGCTAATTACAAGGTAACGGGAGGGTCATGAAATTCAAAACTGCAGATAACAGCTGAAAGATCAGGTTCATACTTGGTCATTTAGAATATGTCTTTTTATCTAAATGATAATGTTCTGACGAAAATTTATTCATTATATGTTTTCATAATTCTTTGTGCTTGACAGTTGGGCCTCGGAAAAGACAGCCATGTCCTGTTTGACCGTCCTTGCCACGTGCGCGCTGCTTTATCTTTCGCGGGTAATCCAAAGTGAGGGTTTAAGTCGGTTTAAGTCAGTTTAAGTCAGTTAAGTAAGTTTTCCAGTACGATGCCTATACTCCGTCGTCACTTTAAATATGTTTTTTATCCAACGAATATTTACAATTTATTTCAAATTTGAAATAATAAGTAAATACTATAACAAATGAATAACAATAACAAATGAAATAAAATAAAAAAGTTCCCCATTAGTAATTTTGTTGTTAAATCTGTAATAAAAAGATGATTAAAATAGTATTACATTGTTACGAGCATCAAGAATAAATAAAAATGTTCCAGCAAAACAAAAAGTCATAAATAAATATTAATTTTTAAGAGAAAGGGGAGGATGACGCGTGGACATTCTATTTAGTCGAGAAATTTTTGTCAAGTAGATTTAGAGCTAGATGATTGGGATGCATTTCCAGACGTTGGTGATCTTTTCAGCAAATTTCTTGTATCTGTTCTGGAACTGTTGCTATATTGAGGTCTCGTAGTAGTGCTGCATTTGTTATGAACCAGGATGCAGATGAAATTTTTCTTAAAAGTTTTTATTAAAATATTTGTAGAATTGACATATTAGCTTTGCTGGTCGTGCCCCAAATCTGAATTCAGTATGTTCATCCAGGAATATGATACTTTATTTTTGGCGTCATAAATATGTGGCAGATTCACATAGATGATTTGACTTTATTTAGAATTCATACCGAGTTTGTATCAACAAGGGAAAGCTTCTGCTATTGAGTGTCACAAGGAAATCACAGTCATTGCGATTGATATCAAAATAGTAGATTAAGTAACAAGGGCGCGAAACAGGTGATTCACGCACGAGTCGAGTTTGTCATCCGAGCAGAGCGAGTACGACAAAGAGATGAGTGCGTCACCTAGCACCTGTGTTGTGTATATTATTTGCCGTGAGCGAAACGCTTTGCGTCAAGTAAAGGAATATAAATTTAATATTAAGTAACTAAAATAACTCGCAACACTATTGTCTGTAATAATAAACAAAGACGTCAAAGCGAAAGATAATTAGCAATCGTTACAGATGTTTCGCACACGCTTCACAATATTCCGCACATTGTGAAAAAATATCCTTTTCGCACACTGAAAACAAGAAACCGCATTTCGGTCATGGCACGTTCAATAATTGTGTTTCTCAATTTGTCTGCAAAAAACTATAGCAATTTTAACCCAGTTTATATTCTGTGGAGTTGATAACGACTTGGCTAATACTGTGGTGCCTCAAATTCCAAACATTTATTTTTATTTTTTCTCGAATAGACTAAAAATACGCTTATGAGAATGGCGTATTTCCGGTTTGATTAAAACATCTGATTTTTCGAAAATTACAAAAGGTAAATTTTGTTACTTATACAACATATACATTTATACAACATACTTATTCAAGATTAAGATTTTTTCTTAATGAACTCTACTTTTCAAAATTAGATCTGTAAGAAATGCCTAGCACATTATTTCGAAAATGTCAGTATTTTTCGCGTTTTTTAGTGAAATCATATTTTTTTAAAAATATGTGAAGCAAATTTTCTCAAAAACAGCTATATTTGATAAAATGTTCTACTGTAATACATCAATGTGTGTTGAAATTTATGGCTTAGTTCATTTTTCATTAAAATATCCGAAAATTTTAAGGTTACAAACATTTAACTTCCCATTTTTTACATCAGTAGCGTTGTTTGTACGCGAAAAGCTGGATGTTTCACTGGGTAAGTTGGTTCCTCGGGGGGACTCGTTCGGGATTTAGGTTCGAAACTCAGTCGGACAGGTTTTTGCATTTTAGAACACTTTTGCAGATTCTACTGCTAATATTATGACATAACCGAAACAGACAATACAAGAAATTATTTGATGTTGCAGAAACATTTGTTTTATTGTTGTTTTTTTCTTATTCGGAGTTTTTAATTTTCCTGTTTAACTGCGCTAGAGAAACCAACAAAGAAGGTTGTCTGATGTCTGTAACTGTAAGGTTGACGCTGATGTTTATAACTTCAACACTCGACGTAATAATCATTTTCATCAAGTGACAGTACCAACAACTCACTAGAAAAAACTCACATACAACACATGCACATTATTTTACAACACCTTGTCAGATGTCATTAAACGATTAAATTCTATATAAAAGATTAAGTCTGAAGTAAAATATTTTCTGCTGCACAACTGTTTCTATACAATTAGAGACCATACTGAGCATCCAAAAGGAAAGTAATATTAATTTTCACAACACATTTAGTGTATTATTTACCTCTTGGATTGAATAATTCTATGGAATTGTACTTCAGTTTCTGGGTCAATGACCCCCATCTCGATTAGGTTTTCGTCCAGTTTCCCTGATCCTTGAGCAAATGCTGAGATGGACTCTTGTTTTGCTTCTGAACATGGATGTAACTTCAAAGTAACTTCTCCCCATAGCCCGTTACACACAGTTTTTAATTGTTTTTGACTTAAGTAAATCAATAAATAAGGTAGTGTACGCAACCTTTTGGATGTTATTTTGCTACCATTGTCCAAATAATCTCATATTTCGAACGCTTTTAGAGCTCAACATTCGAAGGGGTTGTATATTTCGTCTATAATCATGTCAGAGCAATTAAAATTTCTGATATCTTGTTTCATTCCTTACCAGTGTTACTATTCACTCACAAATGACATTCTTCTGTTACTGACCTTCAGATGTTGAAAAACATTATGTTCATTTCCTGAAACCAGTTTATTTCTTTTTCATTTTTCGTCCTCTTCTCATACAGGCTGTTGACCTTTTTTACGCCTTCGCGCCTAACCACAGGGTAATTTGTGAGCAGGTTTTTAACTTTCGTTCTCATACGATGGAGAACCGGTTTCGTTTTCCTTTTCAAAGAATGCTGAGTGGTGCAACGTTAAGTGTGGTTCATCACCACGAAATGAAGCCATGGACTAATTGTGGGTTAAATTTTCCTGCTGTTTTACTGCGAGAGTTCGAAGACATACGGAATAAAATTATTAGCGATTTTTAACTACATCGTTTTGACATTACAATTCGTTACATAGTTTTGACATTTTTTTTACCTAAAATACTAAATTATATAGCAAAAGCTATATTATTGCATTTGGAATATGAATTAATACTTCATGTACTTTTATTACTGAAACTAGTGTTTGCTATACGTGAATAAATGTGCACGTTATTTACTGTGAAAGTTTATAGAAACAGTGAGGACTCTAAGTGAGTAGTGAGTAAGTAGGTGAGATTAGTTAGATTAACAGTGAGACAGTGAGATTTTTTCGGACATTACAGAGCACCATGAAAATTTTGAGAACCTCCTAATAAGGAAACTCGGCAATATTTATAAAACAAACAGAACACCAACCTAGACTTCTCCAGTACAGCTTTGCTCAGGCCCAGAACCTTGATGTTGGTGAACTTCTGGTTCACGGAGATGGGTCCTTGACCCTGACCAATCTCAAGAGCTGAGAGCTGCAGAGGGTCAATGGATGCTATTCCCAAGGACGGGATTCCTGGAAGAGAAAGTTGTTTTATGGGAGACTAACATAACCGTTTCCTCCTGCATCGTTACGTCGAAAGAAGCTGAAGGATTATAACATTGACTGCTCTATCTGAATGAGCGCGAAATAAATACGAAAAACACACAAGCGACCTTTAAGGGTCGCAAGCTCACAAATGAGTTTGCTGATGATGATGCCAACACAAGTTGCCGTTATGCACTGATGTAAATAATGTTGAAATGTAGTCGTAAACATTGATGGAATAATTCCATTGATGCCACTAAGGTCGAGTCACGAATATCAGTTCTGTGATCAATAATCTCATCGGAATTTTGTTTTTACTGATATGCCTCTATGCTTTACATAATCACACGGAGATTAAATTGAAAGAAATGATTGAATGTTGAACAAATGTTTCGTAGTTTTGCCGTTTTGATAGACCTATAAAAAGTAAGTATGAATCTGTAGGTCGTGCATTTTGCATTTGGAGCAGAAGTGTTTTGAATGGATGAAGAGTGAAAAGTAAACCGAATACAATACAAATGTAACACATTAATTTCAACTGCTTCTGTAGATCGCATTCTCCAATGTAAATGAAGGTAGATACAATAACATCACTCTGCAACGTTGCCGATCTCAAAAATTAATAAATACGAATGAACGGTATAATTTGTCAAAGAAGTGATTTACCGCTGTCTTTTACATAACAATACGTACGAGGTGTGCTGTAGTAATACGAGCAGACAAATTTTAAAATACACATGTATGTTACACTCAATGTACGTTAAATTACGTATAATCTACGTTACAATCTATTTTAAAGAAAGATCCCATGATAGTAATACAATTAAAAAGTACTAAATTAGAAAAGCTTCGTTCAAATCATATGTGCAACTACCCCCATCAAACGCAAATTCTCACCTTACGCCTCCCAAATATGGTTTTCAGCATACCATATTTATTTTAAACCCATTTCTCAATGTTATTTTGACCCTGGATTAAATTCTATCTCGGGTAAAAAATTGAAGTGCTTAGTATATTCTGTTAATTAATACAATAATTAAATACATTGTACAATAATTATACGGAAGTATCTGATCACACTTACCTCCAGCCAATTTCTTAATTGCATCCTGCACTGCACCTTCCAGACACCTATCAAGTTGTGGATCAGTCTTCTGGCAACGAATCCAGTCTTGTGCTGAAAATGAATAGAATTTGCACGATGCATGGCATATTTTCGAATAACTAACACAATTTAAAAGACCATTTCAGTTGAGTGTTTGAATTACAGTTTTCCATTATGTAATATTCTCATTTCCTCTTGGTACCATTCACATAATTATAACACATTTGAAAGGTATTTCTAAAAATATATTGCCTACCCATTTATAGAAATACATTTTTGCTGTGCAAGAAGAATTTACAAATATATTTATACGTGTTCGTTCTTTTTTTCTATATTAAAATATTGAGATAATAAATCCAAAGTTCGTATTAAAATGACAGTAATATTTTCTCGAATTATATTTGTTTACGAATTGAATGTGGAATCTTTTCCTACAGATCCAAATAGGCATGTGTTTAGTAAGCAAAAGCAAATCTACTGCGATGCGATAAGTGATGTTAAAAACGAACGCAATCGCTAATATCTACGATGCATGAATAAGATGTCGAATGTAAAGCGAGCACGGGCCGAAACATCCCCAGGACAACAAATTTAGCTAAACACATGAATTGTCAGCAGTGCTCTAGCTAAAATTTACCTTCGAGGAGGGGCATTTTCATATGAGCAGTACTATGTACACGTAAGCTTCCGCGGCTCGAATCCATAAATTCTCGGCAGGCTTCCTCTGGGTAGGCTTCCTCAGGCAGGCTACCTGCCCTGAGAAAGCCTGTGACATGTCAGGCGAAACGTCGGCCTCCCAGCCAACGAGGCGGCGTCTCCCGGATAGCCGAGAATGTAATGTGAGAACTAATTGGTAGGGATTGTTAAATATTAAATCTCCTCAAGCTGGTAGCAACCAGCTTCTGAAGTATCATATCTAGTGGCTGGATGTATCTAGAAACACTTTGGGCAAAATGTGCTCTACCCAAAAACGCGATATACCGCACTTCCCAGTCTCTTGAGTTACCTGGGAATTCTTACACATTCTTTAATCGAATTAGCGGAACAAATCTCAGAGCTCCGATGCTAGGGCCTGTGACTGTACGCCCCACATTCACCTGGTCCCTATTGCCGAACTTTTATTTTTAAGACGTTTCTCTCCTTCCTTTGGTTACGTCGTTCTGATCGCACGACGCAGCAATATCACCAATTTTGTATAATAATAATAATAATAATAATAATAATAACAACAACAATTCATTTCCTTATCGCTATCTTCATTAAAGTAAAATGCTTTTCAAATTAAAAATTATTTGGTTTAAAAATTTAGAGGGGTTAACTCTCCTCAAATCTACGCCTCTTATTGTCAGAGAAACAATAAATTGATGTTAATCTGAAAACGCGTATTGCAAATGATATAACTTTCTCTTACTGATATACTGTTTCTCAGACTTGTCACAGGCAAACAGGAATGAAAGGACACTCTTAACAGCTGACGTCCGTTTTATTTAATTAATATAATTTAACTAATAAAAGTAAAGGGCGTCTTTTAGGGGAAAATTAACTCCACAATTTTTAATACTAGCTCTGGATAAAATTGAATAATATTGACAATTTCTTAGCAAAATCTGGCATCTCGGATCACCAACACTACTAAAATGGGAAACAAATTCGAATATGAAGAAAGTAGAAATGCATTCACTGCAATAGAAGGAAGGGTAACAAATTCCATGACAAACGAAATTAGCCTTTTAAAATTTTTGGAACTGCCAAAGATAAAAAATAATACGAATTAGAAAATTTTAAACCAACGTTACTGATTCTCCTCTCGTCTACTACATGCTTTCCCACCGTGACAAACAATATTTACTTGTTCGGAAAGTGTACTTTACCACGCGGATATTGTTCCATAGTGACTAAGTGCCGCACTTAAGTAAGATGCTTTCCACACCTATTTATGTTTTTATGTGTCTTTCGAGATAACAGTACAGTAGTTGCATAAATTCGCAACCGAAGTAGGAGCTTACATTAGTAACGAAGACTTTTAATGTAATTTAAATTTTGCAATTATTGTTTTTTTCAGAAATTCAAATTAAAAAAGGCTTACTTGAGTGATTTACTCAATGAAATTCATATGTTAACTTTCCAGACGTTTCAGTTAGCTGTTTGCCTACTACATAGACAGGCTAAAGCGACCCATACACTACTCGCTGTCCTGTACCTTGCTCATTATCATGATCTACGTAATTCGCAGATGCGACACACTCTGCTGTTATCATGGGCGATTTGGAGTCATTAAAGCTCAAACGAATCTCGCGAGCAAAACCTCCTTTCCGGGAATTTCTTTCACTGGAACTTCAGAAACTTTGCCAGTTGATGAAAAAATATAACTTTATTGCCTTTTTCATCGTATTTCATGAGCCATAAATTATTAGAAAATTGTATTTTTTTGGACAAAAAAGTGGAAGTGAAGACTAGAGGGAATGAACTAATCAGTGACAATATGTACTTTTGAGGGAGTTTGTTTAGCGGTGTAAAATTTGAATTTTTGAATAGTTTTAAAATTGTAAGGTGTTGAAACCTTGAAAAAGACGATGGAAATTTAGTGTAGACAATTCTACTTTGCCAACCATATTAACACCCATTAATAACTACCAATCTTTTGTCCCTTTTTAAAATTTCTATATTATTCATTTAGCAAATAAAGACATAAAAGTGAACATTTTAGTGGTATTTTAGTAGTACTTTATTTATTTTTCTCTTTTTGTAATTTTTAAAATGGCTATTTTAAGTAAAGTATATTTTTATATACAAGTAAAGTTATTTAAAAAAATTAAAATTCTTTCCTTGAAAATTTGCTTTTATAACTTTATTCCTAGTTTCTGTGAAAATATACTGATGATGAGATCAATTGTTTCAAAAATAGTTTTGGTTATTGAATTAATTGAATATTTCTTTCAAACGTACATGTTTTCGAGGTTGGACTATGACTTGATATTCATACCAATATATTTCATGTAATATGAGAGATAATTTTAATATTTTAAAGAGATCTTTCAAATAAATCTTCACATTTCTATTTTTGTGAAGTTAGATTAATTTAATTTTTAAAAACAGCAAATATGTTTCATTATCCCCACTTGTATTAGCATTTTCATTTCTAAGAAGAATAGCTTAAAATTACTCAAATAACTGAAATATATGCATATTAATTTGGTAACATTATTTGTATATTTTGTTTAAATTGTATATTTATTACAAGATTCGTCCATTTGATATGAAATTTCATGGCGAAATATATTGGCGGTAGTAGTACCTTGACTCCAAGGTCTTCCGTATGGCTTCTGGTATATACAAGGTAATCAGGTGTATTGCAAAGTAACAACAAAAAACAAGTATTTTATTCAGTTTGGACGAAAAACTCAAGTTCATTTCATTCTGTTCTGCCCACTTCGAATTTCGATCACGTTCTTCAACTGTTGGCTTCCAATGTATTCGTATCTGTAATTCAGTGTTTAAAATCAGTCGTATTCAAATCTGACTGTACCCTTCTGAGCACGATATCTTTAGAAAGCAAAGCTTCCATACCTTGAAGTACGAGGTTGAGTAAATAACTAGCTCAGAAACAATGTTCTTTTTTATTCATTTAGTTATTTATAAACATCTGAGTAGCAATGCACGTTTTAAAATATTTATTAGTTTTAATGATACATTTCAGATTTATGATATATTTTTATTATAATGCCATATTTATTAACTTATTTGGTGTCACATTTCGAGCACACAACTTCCTTCTGCGTTTGCCACAAATTATTTCTCCGCATCTCAATCAGCGTTGTTTGACTTATCGTTTTAGCAAAATTTCACAGTTGTCGCCATTTAGATCAATTGCTTATTTCGTTAAATGTGATTACTGCAATGATGCTTTCGTAGCACAAATAGGAGAAACTTTTCTTTTAGATTAATGGAACATTAAAGACATTTGAAATTCAATTTAGACAATTCTATGTCTACAAAATATCACATTTGACGTCATTTACATCAAGCGCTTATTTTTAATGTAATTACTGCAATGGTTCTTATCGCAGTAATGCAAAATTATCATTTTGCATTAATTTAGAAATAAACCATCGGTCATTCAAAAATCAACCAGTACACTAGGATACACAGCTCGTATGATTCCGCTACGTTCTGTAATACGTCACATAAATTATGATGCGTCACTGATGTGTAAACTAGTAATGCGATATCGATAACAACACATCGATAGTAGCAAACAACGATGTTTAAAATTAAAACATCGATGTTCAAAATGCCTCGACTAAAAACCATCGATGATTTTCAACATCAATGTTTATAAACTGGATTAGTAACCTCTAATATTAAATTCGTGTCCATAACAATGTAATTTGACAGTTTTCCTGATTATCAGTTCGCCGAATAAGGGTACGAGAAGAAGAGGCAGACCCTACGCCCACAGCGAATCCGTTGACCACATCTCAATGTGCGAAATGATTACGAAGAAAGAGGAAATACAATGGCATGAAGGTCATCTCGGGCGAGTGTGATCGATGCAGTAGTGCAAAAATCGTTCGTTTGATTTCAACACGTAAATAACAATAATACTATCAGTTATTATTTAATAATTTAACTTTTACAGTATTGTGATCATGGACATTTTTCAATCAGAAACAGAATATCGGCAAAGAAAAAACATCGATAACAAAACATCGATGTTAAAGAAACCTTGATGTTAATACATCAATGTTTCACCAAAATCATGGATATTAAAAAAACGTAGATGTTAATACATCGATGTTTCACCAAAAACATGGATGTTTCGAAAACATCGTCTTCGATGTCGCATCCCTAGCGGAAACCATAGGTTAGCGGACCGCTCCCGGCCAACCTGCGAGCCCAGCCGTTGGCGAGTAAACTCACGCAGCTGGTTGGCGGCGCGGGCCGGCGGCGCGGTGAGCAGCACCGCCCCGCACAGCAGGAAGAGGACGGCCATCGCCGGGAACATCATAACGGACGAGCGGTCGCAGTCGCTGTCGCTGGCTGGAGGCTGGGCGCAGGCGGCGGCGACGG